AAGTTTACATCTAAGTATCCAATAAAAAAATTTGCATTTTCTGTCTGGGACGGGAGATATTTTTTTTGGGTTGCTGTAACTTGGTCTGTAGTGGGTTCTAGCAGGCTTACGGGGGCTTATTGGAAAGAGGAGACGCTCATCTTAACAGCGATGAGCTTAAATTGCGATTCGTACTTAGGTTCGTTAGTATTCTTTTGTTTGACGCCGTCTCCTTTATACTGCAATCTACCAATCGGTTAAAACGGCATGTACATTGTTACTTGAAGAAGTTTGTGTGGATAACACATAAACAATGGCTTTATACCAGGAGGGAAGGATACAGAGTATCGTGCAGGGCACCTGCGTCATCCAGTCCTTGGGCCAAATCACATCTAGGTTTACGACCTTAGAGCAAGTTGAATGGTTGACTGGAATGATATACATTCGTTGAAAGTGTATTATTGAACGGGTCCTTAAGTAGAATAAAGTTGCATTCAAATAGCATGTTTATCTTTGGCCTGGACACGCAACTTGGCATCGAAGCATGAACATCGCTGAGAACGACACAAAAACGATAATTTTGATCTGACGCACACAGTGAATTCTAGTCCTCGAGCTTGGTGATATTTGGGTCGAAAAGAACCACAGCCATTTGGTATAATTTGTACTCCTCTACCATTTTACCCGAGTGTGGGTCGACGATGAGGCGCCCTGTACGGGTCGCCATTGTTCTATGATCAATTAGCTAGACCTGTCGATTCCATCAAGAAAGAGGCTAAACGATCCTTGGCCTTCTTCGCCATTAGTATAAAACCGATCTCGACCGAAAGGACCTATGCAACTTTTGCTGGCGCTGAGCTAGTCCTGAACCTCCTCATCACATTTTTTCGGCGGGAAAAGTGAGAATAAATTGAGACCACTATAGTACTGATACGAGTACTGAGGCACAACTCGGTTAGTTATAATGTGCACTTGCGTATATGGACTCAAGTGTGAAATACATTCAGCTGGAAGCTCATCCAAGACACATTGTGGGCAGCATTTCGAACATGACTCTATCGAAAATGGGAGATTTAGACAAATACCAGATCACGTGGATATAGGATTCTTCTAGATGTGGCGTTGCCGCTTGAGTTGACAAGATCAGATGTGTCGGATAGAATGAAGTACCAATCATTTTTACGCCAGAATTGCCACCATTCCTTGACAAGTGCGTCCTTGTTGTTTCGCCAAAACGCAGAAAACTCGAGATATTCGTGGAAGCGTGGGTCGTTCTTCAAGTTCGCTGCTGGACCCTGACCCGTGAGTCCCAACTTTGCGTAAATGGTAGTTGGGTTTTCTCCATCCTTGAGCCATTGACGATATTTCTTTTTTTTTCCACGATTTCCTCTAGCTTGACTGGGTCTTTCTTCCTGAGCAGACTTCCAAGCTTGGTTGCCCAAGCATACGCTCTCTCTTCCTCATCGGGGTGTCCAACGTCCGCAGCATGGATGCTCTGGGTTCTGAGAAACCTCTTTTTATCTGCAGTGAAAGTCACGGCGTCAATGACAGGTGCGATTATGTGTAGGCTTGTTTCCTCTTTTTCTGCAGGTGATGATAACTCCTTGCTGCTTGCGATGTTGAAAGCTACAAGAAGCAGCACCATGAGGAAGAGTCACATGATAAGTCCTTGTCGAAGCTGAGCGAATGCGTGTTTGACTGTTGGAAAGCGGAATATAAAATGAGAATGGGATTGTTCGAATCGTTGGTCGTGTGGGCTGGGTGATGCAGTAACAGCAGTGGAGATCGTCAGCAGATCTCAAGATTTACCCTGCTTGGCACAGCGTAAATACTCAGTAGTTAACTATAATATGCTCAAGCATCGACTACTCTAGTTTCCCTTAATGCCCTACATGAGTTGCATTAGCGGGACTGAAAAGCAGCGTCTAATAACATCTCCTACCGACTCGAGATATCCACAGCGTAGGCTTGTTATTGCAAATCGGGCATCGTCAAAGACGGAAATTACCAAACACTCTACTTCAGATCTTCTTCAGATACTCTTCCTGATGCCACAGAAGTCGTTTTAGCAGCATTCTACTCTTATTTTGTTTGATAATACTCTTTCACCGCCATTGTTCCATCAAGGATGATCGGAATTGCTCGTCAGACTCCGTTTTATTCAATCAAGGAGAACTTTTCGACTAAATAACCAGGAAAGAGAACTTGTTTAGTTGGTGTGACACGAATGTTGACCCAGGCAACGTTACGCATCTCGATCTACGCAATACCGAGGAATTAATCCGTTGTGGGCTGTCCATACCTATATGAAAGTTTACGGTAAGCGGGTACAATACGTAAGCAACGCATCCTCTGAACCACCATCAAAATTGTAGAAAGTTTACGGTAAGCGGGTACAATGCGTAAGCAACGCATCCTCTGAACCACCATCAAAATTGTAAAGTTTACGGTAAGTAGGCAAAAGGCGAAAACAACGCACCGTCTTCGATGAGAACTGCGGTCCTGTTCCTTTGCAGCAACAAGC